GAAGGCAGGAGAGTTTAGATTCTGTAAGATTTAATCTCCCATGAAGCAAATGCTAATACTGAATATATGTCAAAATATACATTCTGACAAATTATAAAGCATATCACAATTTAATAATATTCCTCTCAAAAAATATTCAAATATAATCTTTATGTTTGCCATGGTGAGTTTTTCTTTCAGTAACAAAATATATTTAATGTTAAGACTAACATGCTATCTCTGAATCTTAGTATAACCCTTTTGTTCTTGATGTCACTATGCCAGGTTTTGAATCATTGTAAAAGGCTTTTCCAGAGGCCTTTTCTTTTTAACTGTAATGATGAAGAGGTTCACAGAAGAGGTTTTTATGAGTTCCTGCTTGAGGAAATGTGTATCAGCAAACCCCAGCTGCCCTGCCCGTCGCCTATCATTGTAAACATGGCCCTGTTGGCCCCACTTCTAAGCAGGAAGGGTGTTAGAATTCTGGGGCCGGCTGACAATTCAAGGAGGCCAACAGCAGATCCTCTTTGATTTGGTGGGGAGGGAGGTGGTAGTAAAACCATCTTACGGTATTTGGGCAAGAGTTTATTGGCCACTGGCCTGTGACTGGTTTTTATCTTGGTGCCAACCTCCGTCAATTGACAGGGACTACCTCTGTGCTGGATTAAGAGAAAAACTAAAAGTGTATCTTGGATGCTGGGAATCACTTCAAATGAACTGTAAGGTTTTTCCTCCAGGAAACAGCAGCATGTGTCAGTCATTTCCTGTCCACATAATCAAAATGTTGTAAAGGCCACAGCAGCATTTCACCTGCACCTCTAGTAGCTAAATGCACATATTTTACTATTTTGTAATGAAACTAGTTCATCAACCAGGAGGGCTGTTCTCACTAACTGTGAATATTGATTAAATACATGGATCATAAATAATCAGTTTCCAGAAAGGAAGAAAAAAAATCAACTTTTCTTATTTCTTAATTATTAAAAAAAGACATCAGGATTTACAGGTAATCGTTAAAAACATCAGTTTTCATTTTACCATAAATGTGGGATATCAGTTTATTCAGAATACTTATAGAATGTAAGAGAAACTGACATTTTTCCAGAATAT